TCAATTTTTTAATACCCATCAAAAGTAACGGAGGATACGAAATATGAAAAAAGATACATTTTTTTTTCCTATAACGAGTGCATTACAGTACATTCTTATCGTTGTCAATTTATCTTAATCGTGTCGACTATGTAGACGTGGTGACCGTCGTATCTCTTGAAAATGCTATTACGATCAGGCCTAACGGTCCTATCGGGGTAATCGGCAGAATCGGAAGGACGAGACAACCAGAGGGTGACCGAGGGTCGTTGATCGAAGAAGGACACGCCGGAGGACACGGTCCTCTAGTGCACCTGTCGCCCGACTGTTTGTGCCAAACGTATCGATTCGGCGGGGCCGGCAGTATGCAGTGAACGGGAGAACGGGACGAAACAGTGGTTCGCGAAAATAGAAGACCTACCCGGACATTCATTTAATTCCATCTCGTCGTGCTAGAACGAACTATTAATCGTTCGTACGGCGACTGCGGGCACGACGAGGCCTTTGATTTAATCGACGATACAGCTTCGTCGCGGGGAACAAAAGAGTGCGCGTTGGCAAACATAAATGGCTGAACATTGATCGCTCGTATACGAACGCGAGAACTTTTTCTGAAATACGTATTTCATCGCAGTGCTGCGTTTCGTTCTTGGAAACCAGTGATAAGTGGTGGGTGATGATAAGTGGCCCACCGTTTCGAATGAAGTGGTTTTAGGATGATGGTGGAGCGTGTCGAGGATCACCTCTTCATGTATCGACGCCCCGTCTACCGGGTCTTCCAGTACCTCGAAACCACCGAGTAAGTATATCGGCCGATTGCATCTCGTAAATCCTCCGTGAGAGAGATTTCATTACTCGTGATGTATCGAAAAAATAACTACTATAATAATGAGGAGTACTAAATCATTGGCCTTTAAATCTCGAGCGATTTTGAAACGAAGTTATTATCTGACTTGATCGTCGAGATAGGTAACAGTGCGGTAATAGTATAATACTATACGTGAAAACTTAGCGGCGAGAACATCTAATTTCGAGTTTAACGCTGCCCTGCTGGATCCGTCGGTTCCTGCCAAATCTAATGGCGTGAAATAACACTTGGGACCCTCCGACGCTCGCTGGACGTTTAAACGAGGGGTCTGTCTCATTCGAGGAACAGCCCGTGGCAGTTTCCGCGTATAAAGCCTTTGATGGGTCCGTCTAATCTGAGAATGAAGGTAGCGGGACAGAGTTACAGGTGCATAAAGGGGAAGGAAACCAGTGGATGTGCAAGAGCCAGCTCACGCGTGAAGAACGTTCCTTTCGGGTTCTCCCGTTATGTCGATGGCGCCATAGGTAACCATGGCAAATCGTCGCCATCGACCGCAACTAGCTTGCAACTGCTGTTAATTGACGTCATTAACAATTGCATACTGTCGGGGCGTTGGGCATTGCTTTTCGCCTACAATTTCGCGCTCGAAACAGCCAAACAGAGATTCTGGCTGCTAACGTCGATGTAATTAAAAAAATGATTTCATTAACATTGAATATTAAAATGCATAATTAAAATACTTCTTGTGACTCGTACAGAGCTTCGAGATTTTATATCGCGATTTCGAAAAATTAATTAGAAAAAAGAACCTTTTATTTCGTTTAATTACTTCGTTATACGGCAATTAAAATATTTGAACGGTGTTGCAAGAGTTGGTCATTATTAACTTGAGATTTCAAATAAATGGATATTAATTAGTCTTTGTGAAGGTTAATTAGTCTTGCGAAGAAAATATTTTATATCGTTTGTCACAGAGTATCCTGATGATACTTTACAGAGAGGATACTTTATACATCGTGAGCGCGTAGCATTGCAAAATAGGCATATAAAAAGTTTTATTTCTTTCCGATCGTTTTCTTATCTTGACATATGGGAAAGATTAAAATCCATAAGAGGGATATGTGCGGATATGTATAGATCGCGTCCCGTACTTACCAAAGTAACAAGGGTGAGGGGAGAGGCAGGACTCGGAGGAGAATGGTTAGAAATGAGAAAAGTTGAGTCAGAATCCCTCGTGGGATACTTGAATAGCCGTGATATGACGAAGAACTTTCGAAGGACATCTGCGTGACACGTTCACAAGTGGCATTCGCAGGACGACGCAGCCTCGAACTACGAGTAGCTTCAAATTGTCATCATTCCGGTTGCGCGCTGAAAACTACCGAGTCTGATAATACAAACGGGAGAGACCTGTCGCGGCTCTTACGAGGTCATTAATGAAAATTAAATGGCTAGCTCTTTGACGTAACACTCAGATTTCTTTGCTTAATTAATCACTCGTTAATTGAGATAGAAGCATTATAGAATAAATCGTAGTTTTGAACAAGTTAGGAACCATCTTTATGGTTGATGTCATTGATCGCGCTGTTATTTTAATAGCAGCGCTCGCGTCGTTCTTTCATTGTCGCAAAATCCGTACATTGATCCCGGAGCGTTTTTATTTTCAAAGTGGCCATTAATTTTAGAATCCAGAAAAACTGTATTGTCTCTACGTATCCACCGCACGAGGATCTTCGGACAATTTTCGCACAGAAACATCGGCTTTTGATTTTACAGCTTGCGCAAGGGCTTAAATTAATTGCCGGTGTCTCGCGTGTCTCGTAACGTTTCAGAAATTGCGCTATACTTTCTTTTTAACTCTGACGTTTATTTCTTTCACCTCTCGTTGTTGGCGAACGAAGAAATACTCGCTTCTGCCTGTCGCGTTTCAACACCCCGACGTTCTTCTGGCGGCTACGAATGTCATTAAAATTTTCCGCGCTCTTATGCATCGCGAAGCGGGACGTGCTGTCATCAGCGGCAATCGAACTGTCATCAGACTGACACTAGGACTCGATGAAGAACTTGACGTTGCAATTGCTGCACGCGCCACCGTTTTCTCGGCTCTCCTATTCCATCGGGACGCTGTGCCAAGCGCGAATTCCAATCTTTCTTCGCGTCGAGACCTATATCCACTCCACATTATTTGTATCCGTGTACTCTCACAGTGTGCGAGGCTACCTATCGCCGCAAGCACCAACATCAACGTCGGTTGCACATAGAGTCCTGAAAGAACGCGAAAGAACGTTTGCCATCCATGATGCAAATGTTAATTAAAACGTAAGATATTTTCAAGAGATGTAAGAGTATAAAAGGACGGCGTGAAAGCTTGATTGCTATAAGATTCCCTTTAGCACCACCTGATAGCAGCTAACGATAGTGTCTTTGCACCTAAACAATTGTTTGCTCTTTTACGTAATGATACAAGTGTGAGAAGGCGACGAATATATGTTTTGTGTTATTCACCATTATATGACGTTCGCATTAGCTGCACCTCGTTCTAATGATGCATTGTTTCGCGTTGCGTTGTGTAACCGAAGTAGTGACGATTGTTCATGAGAATCGTCCGATGGTTCTTTATACAATTAGAGGAAAAAAAGAGAGAGAGAGAATTGAATCACCCGGCTTATTCTCGTTATTGTTTCATCACTCTTACCTAATGCTTCGCGCACGCACAATGCGAGCTTACCCCTTCGTTGTCTCTTCGCGTCAACGTCAACGGCGCGTCATTTTACATCGAAATGCTCGTTAGCCCGGTTAAATTCATTAACGCCTCTCCCTCTCTCTCCGTCCCGATAATTTACGGTAGATCGGGATTCGCGGCAGCGAATTTCTCGAGGTGTGTCACGTAATCGGAATTTAGGCCGGCCTGTTCGAGTGGTTCCAACCGGATTCACCGCGAGTACCGTAAGAATCGTCGCTTTCGCTAATCGGAATCGCGACGTAAAGTCCAGAAACTTGTGCGCGCGTTTGAAAACACGCATATCGCGGCGAGCCGTGTCCCACCGAAAACTCCGGTAATCCTCTCGTCTCGCAGCCGTGCCCATCGCGTATCTCTTCATCTCTTGCAAAACTGTCGTAAGTCAGGATTAAGTGCGATGCTCTCGGCGGATCGTATTTTAAGATTTCCTCCGGCGGTGCGCGCGGATTCTCATTCATGTAATTCCAAAGCGGCGCGACTCGCAGGTGCAAATCATAATTCTGACATTCCGCATACTCGGGCCGTCGTGATTTATTATTCGTGCCGAGAAAAATGATTTTCCGAGGTGGATTTGCTCCCGAAACTCGCGGAAATTGAAGACGCGACGTCTGGCTACGGAGGTCTCGGTTCCTCCACGGAACTTAAAGAGACGCCGTAGGCGATCGACGGTAGGGGTTCTTACGGCGCAATGTTTCTCTCCGTATCGCCGTTTGATACGCCCTCCGTATCGTGCCGATAATCGGTCGATATATAAGCGAATCGGCAGGTACGACGAACCTCGAAGAGACACACCGAGAGCGCAACTTGTTATTCCAAGGATAAATGCACCTCCGATCGACGCGTATCTAAATTGCATTCGTACAGAAATACTGGAATCTTTCTATCTTCTACGGGGGGGGGGGGGAGTATATAAATATGCACGTGGCAAATAACACGACGATATAAACACCTAACATTTTTTATAAGCTTACCCTACGTGCAAATATATTGTCCCTCTTATGACTCGCAGAGTTATTTGATCTTGTAATTTTTCCACGTTGGAAAAAATTGAGCAGCGTTGTGCATCTCTTTTTCCACGAATTTCTATTTCTTTCTACGAATGTTGTAAGAATCGCGGCAAACTTGTATGCAATTTAACAGAAAGGTAACTCGGCTGCGGATGAAGGAGACGCGCGATTAAAATAAGTACTTCCGTCCATGAGAAGAGCCGATGTTTGCTTTTGCTGCGCGCGCGAATTAGAGCAGCCCGACAAAAGACACGTTGCAGATCCGCACGCGGAACTGCGGATCGATTCGGCCGCGCATGACTTTCAATGTCTATTCTTTTCTTGTTCTTCGATTTAAATTTAACGAAGGGAAAAAAAGATGCGGTTTCGATGCGCGCGACTCGATGGTCACAAAATCCCGATGCCCAAGGCTACCTCAACAGGTAGTCACATTGGTAGCATATTAAGATCTTGAGAACTTCTCTAGGCACATGTACACGGTGAGACGGTCTCTTGTTCACGGAGCACAGCGGGAGAGACATTGGCGAGAGGCGTCGGTGAGTTTTAATAACTCAAAAATACATCCTGATAGCCGGAGGTCAATTAACGAAATTAAATTAATGCAGATTGAATCTTCCATATATAACGTATCTCATTAATAATAATAAAAAGTTGTGAATTACCATCAAGTGTAATAATGTATATAATTATATGCGACATACAAGTTGACCCGTAAGATAAGTGAAAGATTAAGATCTATACGGGTATGCCTTGTCGAACAATTACGCCGGCTGGCGTGAGATAATAACCGTGTAAGCCGACCGCGTTTTACCACGCTGACCACATTTAACGAACGCGGTCCCAAGCAGTCTACGATCGACGTCGCGAGGCGATACCGGAATCGCAACGCGTCGTAAACACATGCCCATGGGAATTATCAATGCGTCCCACGCGTCGCGCACGGACACACTCGCGGCCGAGAGAAAAAGGGACTCCGAGAGAGGAGAACGGCAGGTTGTCTGTTCCCGACTGGCCGAGGCGATCAGTTTCTGTTGGGCTGCGAATGTGCGCGCACGCACGCATCGTTGTAGACAGAAGCGAGGGGTGTGTTTGCGATCATTCAGATAGTCGCTCGAAATATCGCGAGACGCGTATTTCCTTTTTCGCGAGTGGGCATTTTATAATCTATATCGGGTTTAATTAGATCTTGGATAAATCGTGGTACTGTGATCCTGCGAGCTGGAAACGCGCCATCAAGAAGAACAGAATTTCAAACGCATTTCTACGCGAATGGTTCGATTGTGCTCAGTTATAATATCACTGTACGTTGACGTGAAAAACACAAGAAAAGAATATATATTTATGTCGATGTCTCGTAGTGCGTGGAAATTTGTCGTTGATACGCTTGTCGTTGGTGAAAATTGCAAGTTATAGCGAAAAAATTTCACTCCAGAAGAGAAAATTACTTGATCCGTTGAAGCTGCGTTACTCGTATCGCAGAAATTTTCTGTTATTAAGTGAATTCTTGGCAAAGGAGATACTGCAACGGAGAGCATGCTTTAATTAATAGTCGTCGCAAAATATGTTGCAAGTTTTTTACTTCGTTGCGGTCAGCGTCATATCTCCGTTATGAATTCTTCAGTTACTCTTGGCTCTCTCATTTCCCTGCTCGTCTCGTCTTGAGTGTTACATATATGATCTCCGGCGAGAGGGAATCGTGTTACGGGGGAATATAAGAATAATTGAAAACCTGACAGGAGATAGATCGCCGTGTCGGGCTGAAATATTTAAATCGACTCTAATCTCTCTCAGTACCGTTGTTTTGAAAAATAGATCAATTTCGCTTCTGGGACATAACTTTCCACAAAAGAAAATATTTCAACGACACTTGGTGCAAAAAAACTGGACGGCTTTAAAAGAATCAATCAGATTACCAAACTTTGGAAATGTAATTAGTGAGCAAAAATAAAATAAAACGCAAACTTGAATGCCTATTCTACTGATAAAATATACCAATGAAGACTACGATATCGTACAACCTTTGACAATTGTGTAGACCAGCATAGTCTAGTCGAGTTAGACAAAGTATTCGAGGAGAATAACTTCAATCAATAGACGGAAGAAAAAGATTAAGGAAAGAAAGAAGAATCGATCGCTGAAAAGAATTAGAGCCAGGATGGTGCTCGGCTAATTGTGCGAGAGCTAATTGCGTTTGGCAATTACGGATATTCGGAAAATGTTGGAACTCGTGGAACGCAAAGCGAGGATCTCTTGGCCTACGTGTCGCCCTCCAAATATTGATTCCTTTGGGAAGAATCCCAAAGGAGGCGTGCTCTTGAGACGCAAGGAAAATTGCACACCCGAGAGACGATGGAGAAGAGACAGCAAGGGCTTGCTTTGCTCTCTGGGCCAGCTAAGTTGCAGCGATTCTTACAGTCCGGACACACTGGGAACGTGGAAATTTCACAAGGTGTCTCGCACGAGGTAAAGACACATCCGCGACAAATCGTGTTCCTGTTTGTCGTTTTCAGTGAACTTC